GGGGGGGGGGGGTGGTTATGGAGCTGTGTGCAGGGTGTGTATTTGTGCGTTAGGTGTGCATCTAGTCACTGGCGCTGGTCTCGGTGCTGGTCTCGGTGCTAACCAACCAGGTGTGATCTTCAGCTTGAGGTCGCCACGTCGTAAGACATGTTTGACATATTTGTCTGTGAGGAAATAAAAACATGCATTCCCAACAATGGTTGTCTCAGAATAACACCTCAAAATGTGTTTAAGTGTTTTATTTACAGTTACAAAATTAATGTAAAAAATAATACACATAATATAATAAAAACATTTAATTTTCATTAGAAATGATACAAAAATATATTCAAAAGAGAGCGAAAGAAAACTGAAATGTGAAGTTTTGTCTTTTGGAAACGTCTGCTGGGACGTGATATGGATGCAGAGTACAATGAGTCCCATAAATGCTTCAGTTCGTGGGATCACACTCGGTTGGTCCCGTGTGGCCGGTCCCCTGTGTCGAACATGTGCGACGTCAAATAGTCCTCGTACTGTCCGTCTATCAGCTTGGCTGCGTTGTTGCGGGCGAACCAGCAGTCCACGCTCTGAGTCCCGCTGTAGATCCTCCTGCTCTTCTGAACCACCGGCACCGAGCGCTCCTTCACCTTCAGCACGGACGACGGCTTCATGTCTCCTTGTGCCGGAAGCTCTGCCAGTCCCACTTCCTCATACAGGAACTGACCTGAAAGTAGACACAAAGCAACGTTATTTTAGTCTCTGTTAAGTCTTTGAAGGCCAGCCAGTAACTCTAGCTTTTTGTGTTGATGTTAGGTCGTCAGAAATGGGGCCGTTTGTGACTCCACACCTCTGTTTTTATGTAATTAACCCTCCAAGCCCTCATTAAAAACCTACCCAGCAGGCCGTGGCAGTTGTGCGACAGCCCCTTGCTGTTACCGATGTAGAACCCCAGGTGGTCTCTCTGGTAGGGGGCCGGATTCTTGTACTGATGCAGCAGGATCACAAACACGATGTTCCCTCCGACCGTCACGGTCACGTTGGACTTTCCCGCGACGGACACCGACAGAGCGCCGCTGTCGACGGCGACCGTGGAGTGGCAGGGCAGCACCATTCTGTCCCGCCCGTCCAGGATGACTTTCTTAGGCGTCACCTCGATGTAAGCGCGTCTGGGCTGATCCACCACGATGGTGATGGTGCTGAAGTAGGTCCGCTGCTGCTTGTGGCTACCGGGCGGAGCCGCGGCGCCGATTAGCTTACCGTTTACTGTCACACCTGGAGACAAGTGGCATAAATAACCAACCCGAAGCATAAATTATGTGGATCTTGACTTGAAATAAGGTTGTTTTTTCTTACCAGAGTACTTGTGGTCGGACACCAAGCGCAGGATGTGTCCAGGCTCACCGTTGATGTTGAAGCACACGGTCAGTTTACTGAGCGGGAACTCCACCACAAAGTGGGGGTCACCATCCGCTGAGGTAGTTTCAAGGTTAGGAGAGAGAGAGGAAAGTTACATTATTTAAAAGAAACGGGCTTGAAAATAGATTGCTTCAAGTGATGTTTTTAAGAGCTCAGTGTAATTCAAATTCAGTTAAAATACACACTTGGATTTGAAATGGCCAGAAACCCTCAGGAACATGTTTGAGAATACTCATCTAGTTACAGGTGCTAAAAAGGAGACAGGTGGGACTTTGGCTCTCTAGCTTACAAAGAAAACTAATTCATTTTACACGTTGTGATGAAACCTTAAAACTCTCCAAACCTCTTAAGAAACCTGATCAGTAGCTGTGTTTTAATTTGTGAATGTTTCTCAGATCTGTTTCTGTCTCAGATCTGATTTCATGAGACGGTTTATATACCTTTTGAGCTGGTGTCTCCTCAAGCTTGTGAGAACCTGGCTGAGATGAATAGAGAGCAACAGTAATGACGGGGTCATTAGCCCTCACTAACGGCCTCTGATGTGGTCCCTCTCTTTACTCTAACGTATCACCCCTCGACTCGGCTCCCATTCGACCACGGTGTGTGTTTTTTAAAGTGCCACTTGTGTCGGTATTTCAATTAGACCCTGCGGGTTTCTTTTCAGGTCATGTTCAGAGGACTGTTCCCTCAGACTGTCTGACGAACATCCAAATTACAGGCCGCCCACACACAGAGTGTAGAGAGAGAGTGTGTACTGCACATTCCCCCTCTCGTCTCTTTCAAGTCTTTCGGAGTCTTGTAGCCACTGCATATGTGCTCGCGGTATATAGGTTTTCGGATGCTATCAGATGAAACTGGCAGGGGGAAAATGTACAAATGTTTACGTGAGAGAGAATGTGGAGTCACCTGATGTTTTGGAGAAGGTGATGGATTTCTTGGCTGGTCGTCTCTCAACTTTACCTGTGAGGAAGAGAATATTTATCTACTGCATTGAGTCAGAGGGCGGCCATTGTTTGATGCTTCCTGTTAAAGTAACATTAACCTCTGGAGGTTCAGTTGTTAGTGTAATACAGGGTGTCTGAAGAGAGCGAAAAGCCTCATGGTCTGCATGTTCCCTTAACCAAAAACTATGCCTCTGAAAAGTTTGTAGTTTGCGCCTTTTTAGACGTCAATAGCTGTAGTTAGCTTGGAGTTACAATGGCTTCCAAAGGTGACACAGTTAAATGGTTTAAAGTGTCACAGAAAAACTTCTCAGATCTCCCTTTTTATCAGCAGAAGAAGTTTATTAATTTTCAGTATTTTTGGTGGAAATTTTGGACCTGACAGACTTTTCAGACACCCTCGTTAACCTAATCTAGGAGGCACAACCTCACCAATCATGTTGCTCAGAGAGGAAGTCTGGCTTCCTGGCGCCCCGTTGGATTTCTGTGGCTTTCCGTCCTCTGCGTCATCTGGCAGCTCATTGGCAGTTGACACAGCGACGCCAGCCGATGGGGGGGTGGTGGGCGCCGGAGCCATGGTGCCGTCAGCCAGGACCTCGGGCTTCTCCACCACCAGGTTGGTGAGCGGGGTGAGGAAGTGGTAGGTCAGAGACAGATTGGTGGCCTGCTGGATGTGGTCCTCCCTCTCCCTGCTGGTTTGGCTGCGCAGCCGCGATCGTAGCCCATCCTTGACGCTCAGGAAACCCCACAGGCGTTCCACAAAGTCGTCCGCTATCAAACTCAAAGCGACTCCTAATCCCTGTGCGACCCCTGACCCTGGAGTCTTAGCTCCGGCCGCCATCGCCGCCGTGGCTGCCTTCACGTGTTTCTCAGTCTCCGTCTGTCGGTGCCGCAGCGGGACGTCGGTCTCCAGGACAATGCTCTTGTCGTTGTTGCTGGCCGTCACCTGGACGTGGAGAGATTCTGCGCTGTTGTTGGACAGCTTGCCGGCGATGACGATCTCAGAGCCGTTGAAGTAGTTGGTGAACAGATGCTGGGTGACGTACTGGACGGAGTCCTCGGTGTAGTTGATCCGTATGTCCGACAGCAGAGGAGTTCCTATCTCATCGTAGAACCTAGAAAAGGAACGAGGAGACATCTCTGATTCATACCGGCAAAATAAGTCGTTTGTCGTCGCCTTCCACAACAACATGAGCTTGAAAATTGCCTCGAAATGTTGTTGCATCTACGGCTGGGGCAGGGGCACTGAGTGTGGAGTGAGAACGGGTTGCCTTATTCCTCATTGCTTACTTTTACACATTATTCTCGCAGTACCCAAACTTGACATATGCTTATTCTTCTCTGTTGATCATCAATCAGTAACCTGTTCAGTGCCTTTGCTCAAGGGCACATCAGTTGTTGAGCGTGTTATTACAGATTTCATCAAATGTCATGCTTATTCAAACAGAGGCCACCTTCTGGCCATAAACCTGCTTGTCTAACCTCTCAAAGCTAATTCAACCCCACTTCAGAGTTTGTGCACACATTCATAAAGGAGTGTGTGTAAAGCAAAGGTTGTGAATGTGTGTGTGTGTGTGTGTGTGGGTGTGTGTGTGTACAAGTCCTATGTCCTGTCCTTGTTATCATGACGCCGTAAACCTCCTCACCTCTTAACCAGCGTGTTTGTTCAAGCCGGACGAAGTCTATTATCTGTGGAGTCTGTCTGTTAGCCCCCACGTACAAACTCAGATGCAGGTTTCACAACACACACGCATTCCTGCTCCACTGAACAAACATCTTGTGTGTCAGAGTGCGGAAGAGAGAAGAGGGTTGTGTGTAAAGGATAAGAAAAAAAAATTGTGTGAGAGAGAAAGGGTGGCTGTTGTAGTCTGTGGCTGTGCCATGTTGAAGTTTATTAAAGAGGACTGTTGTCAGCACCGTCACATTTGCGCTCTGCGTTCCCTCGTAGCTTGATGAGAGATGGACGGACGCGTCAAAGGGGAAGAGGGGAGGGATTACGGAGAGCTAATTGCTTAATAAGAGCCGGATTATACACATGTGGAAGGGTATTAAAAGTAATAATCAACGATATCTTCTTATAAATTAGGGATTCTTAGTCTTTTCTTATGTTGTGTTTGAAACAGCTAATGTGTAGAAGGTGTTTTACGGGAAAATCTTGTTTGATTAGCGAGTAATTTCTGGCAATGCAAACGTAAGGATCAAACATGGAGACAAAAGAAAATGATGATATTGTATGAAATATTTGAATCTACATAGAGGAACCAGTAGATCCATATGGTGGCCATAACGTGTATTTTTTTTAATTAACTATCTCAAAATGTCTCAATAGTTTATCGTCTAGATGACTTAGAGTCAGAAAAAGGGACTTCTGGCCTCAAGCCACTGTTGGAATCCCCAAATATGATATGAAACATTCACCTTTCCTCATTTCTGTTGTCAGATGTAAATCTTCAATGGACTAAATAAGAGACACGTTTGAAAATGCCTTTAGACCCACTTCCAGACCACACTGTTAAGCCAGTCTTAGGCCAGTTTCAAGCCTTTTGGAAGAAGTATTCCATCAACATATACTCTCTTACCCTTTGAGCATAGCGCTGGCGTCGGCGTCCTCGTGGATGCGTCTCATCATCCCACAGTTTTCCAGAGCCATGCGCTCCAGCAGCCGGTAATCCACGTCGTTCCCAAGCCCGATGGTGAAGATGCAGAACTTCTCTTGCACGGCTGAGCGGGTGTTCCCGAGGATCGCGGTGGACCGGATCTCCCCGACCGTGGGCCGTCCGTCCGTCAGGAATATAATGAGGGAGACGCTGTTCGGGCTGGCGTCGGGGCTCAAGAGGTAATCACCGAGCAGAGTGGAGCCGGTCCGGATGGCACCATCGATATTTGTACCTGCAGTGAAAAGGATAAACCATAAATATGTTCTCATATGCACTCAAAGTCTTCGCTGAACCATGCATACGTGTTGCACCAGAGTCACTTCAAGTTAAGCAATTGTTATTGACAACTCTTAAAAAGTTATTCAATCAAGCCAAATCATATTTATCTATCAAAATATAGGAACTGTGAAGAAGACGTGCCAAAAGGGTAACAATGCCTCACCTCCAGTGGGCATCAGCATGTAAATAAACTTCTTGGCGTCTCTGATGTTAAGGGGCGTCACCGGTACGAGGCGATTCGGCTGCCAAACTTTGATCCTGTTGGAGAAGCTGATGAAGTTAAAGCGATCGCCGGGTCGCAGATCCCTCAGAATGGTGAACAGAGCGTCTTTAGTCTGAGAAACGGAGAGAAATAAAGTAATCTCACTTCGAAAACAAGACTAGGGTTAACACAGACAAATGTGAAAACTCTTGCGCCAAGAGAATGCTGGACACAAAACGGGGTCATGGTCTCTGTGGTGCAGCCGTGCTTATTGTATCATAACACTAGAGCTGAAACAAAACCGTGACCCAGAAGCCCAGTCCTTTGACCAGCTGTGATGTTGTGATCACACACACCCTCCACCCATGAATCAGGCCCAGGAGGGTGGGGTCAATAGTTGTGAAAACTACACTCAAAACAGTGTTTAAAAGGTCAGAGACCTAGTTAATCTGAACATGTTTTATGTCGATCCATCAGCTTTTTGGAAACTAAAAACGCCCTTTTTTTCGTAGGTTGACTTTGATCCTGCATGTTTAAATTTATTTAGTGGATTTGAATGGGTTCCGTAAGCCGTTGTTATACATTATTTACAAAACACAGACTGTGTAATCATTGCATTGCAAACTTGCAAGTGTAATTTCTGGAGAAAATAGCAGTTTTCTCCAAGAAAATTAATTTTTGCCAACATTAGTTTGATTTTACTCTGAAGAAATGTGATTTTTGTGGAATGTTTGATACGTAGGGTTTTGTCTGTTTGCTGATGATTCAGCATTTTACCCTTTTAAACAGTATCCCCTCCGCCAAGGAGGTTATAGTTTCGGTTCAGTTTGTTGCATCTCTCTGTCACTCCTCCGCCGCCCAAATATGGTCACTTCCGTTCCCTGGTTGCAAAGCCAAGATGGCGACGACCAAAACACCAAACTCGAGGCTTCTAAACCAACCAACAGTTTCCAAACCAACGGGTGACATCTTTTGACGGGCTTCTAATTTGCTTTGAATGTGTCCGTGTAAGAAATTAGACGCGCAAAAGTACAAAGACTTCTTCCTGCTTTTTCACCATGTCAGTATCTCTGCTGCCCTGAGCGTGGGTGCGATATATAATTAGGCTCTGGGGGGTTTATAGATGTCTATACTGGCCGTATACATGAGGGGTCAGAACCACAGACTGAACCACACTGAAACGGTCTATTGTGGAGCCACATCAAAGCACACTTGTTGTTCTGTTCCTGCAGCCCACGATGGGTGGGGTAATGGGGTCGAGGGGTCGAGGATGCTGTTGTCTACAATGTTCCATTACCCCATAGACGTTGACCTTCCTCCCTCACAGCACGGCCTTGTGTTGTATGTTTCCACTTTTCTTTTCTCACTGAAAATCTGTTTTTCCTCTCCTCTGTTTCTGCACTCAAGGCAGCTGCAGAGATCAGCTCTGAGTCTGGCCGAGGGGGATTATCGTGCTATTGCAGATGGAGGAGAAAGGTCTGATATTGATATTCCAGTGTGGGAGTGAGGAGGTGGGGGGTCAGGTTTCTGATCCAATACAGGCATTGAAATTCTGCTTAAAATCAGGGTCAATTGCTTTGCATGCGAAGCCAGAATTTTCTCTGACACACCCCTTCTTATATACAGTCTGATCACGACCCGTATTTGCCTTTAATGTTAGGCTGCTACAGTAATTATGACGGGAGCAAAGGAGGAAGTCAGGTGACGTAGTATAAAGAACAACAAAGTCTGCGTAGGAGACCGATGTTCGAGTCCTGTGTGAACGTAGATAACTGAGATATACTGACTGCATTAAGAATGTCCTTAATATATTGCACATTCCTGCAGCTTAGACTTGACTTAACAGATTTCTAGATATCCCCTGAGTGTGCTGCTTTACCTGTCTGATCTTCGTCCCCAACATGGAGGCGCTGGTGTCGATCACAAACACCACGTTCTTGGGCACAACTGGCAGGTCTTTAGGAGCAAAGTAGTGCACGAAATGGCCGTTTAAAACCTGGGAAAGAAAGAAGTTTTACAGGCAGTGAGTTTTTAGCAAAAAAGTAGTTTGGTTCTGAGAGAGAGAGAGGGAGAGGGAGGGAGAGAGGAAGAAGAGAGGAAGAAGAAGTAGTTTGGCAGCGGAGAGACTGCAGTGGCAGGCAACCAGAGAAATGAATCACTAACAGGTGGGTGGATGAGTGTGTGTTAGTGCGTATCGCTGGATGGGAAATATGTGTGCACACTTGCAAAATATGAAAATGTTTCACAGTCTGCTTTTCATTATCCTTCTCTGTTTCAATACCTGAATGTCTCCGATCCCCATGTCTCTCTGCACGTCGTAGCGGATCACAAAGTCTCCCAGGATGCCGTTGGTGGTGATCTTGGCCTGCTGGACGATGTTGGGGCTGAAGGTGATCCTGCAGACGTTCTTTTCGATTTTGATCGCGGTGGTGACGGGAGGCTCGGTCTTGGCTGACGGCACAAAGACGGGAAGTGTGTTTGTGTTTTGACAGGCTCAAGAACAAAACTCTGGAAGAAGTAGCAGCGTGTTCAAAATAACAGAAGTAGAGAAAAACAAAGCAAACTAAGAATGACAAACCACAAAGATATGTGATAAAATGAACAGAATAATAAGATGTATCTGTAAACCTGGAGTCTTGGGTGCGTTGGGCCCGTTAGCGGTGTTGGTGCTCCAGCCGTTGCGGAGCGGCAGCACCTGGAGGTCCGTGACGGGCGAGTGGTCCACGATGGTGACGTCTATGCTGAGGCGGCTGACCAGCTGCAGCGGCCGCAGGCTGGTCACGAGCTCGTAGCGTCCCAGCCGCCGCTGCAGGAGCTCCTCATAGGTCAGCAGAAACACGGCACGGTTCCGACCCGGGATGCTGGCCGCCATCCTGAACACCTCGACCTCCTCGGGACTGGAGAGAAGAGAAAAGGGTCACTTTAATGTCAGTACTGGAGCATGACATCTTCCTCCCTCTGCCCTGCTCTTTAACAGCGGAGTCAGTGAGTCACCAAATCTCATTTAATGAAATGTCACTTTTCATCTGACAGCTTGGAAACGGGACGTCACTCCTTCCACATGTCACCTCTCGGGGTCACAGATTCACACGACAGATAAATGATCTCATTCATCACACTCTCTCTGTTTGTACCTGTTTAGTTGAGGTTTCACTTGCAGAAATAGGAGCATTAGAGGTGATTAGGAGGAGCCACACAGACTCTCAGGTCCTCTTACCTTGCATCACCTGACTCTTTGTTCCGGGCCTTGCCGTTGTCCTGCTTGACCCTCTTTGCCTTCGGCATGACCTCGCTCTGGTAGACACGCCCTCCAATGATCCTGGTTCACGGGGGGTCAAAGGTGGAGGATTAGAGCGCCTGCTAAATATTCAGGACCACCCATTGTCACGTTTCAACAGGGTGCCCTCACACAAAAAGACAGTTTTTTAGGGGAGGGGGGGTCCTCTTGTTACCTTTTTATGGGTGCACGGGGATGAACTCTGGTCACTGTATGTATGTGTGTGTGTGTGTGTGTGTGTGTGTGTGTGTGTGTGTGTGTGTGTTTTAACAGCAGTATAAAACTTTCCACCCTTTTTTGTCTCCTGTCATCTCCATGGCAGCAGAAACATCATAAATCCTCCCAGTCAGTCAGACAGGATGATGCTATTTTGTATTTTAGTTCTAAGGATAACAAATAAAGATTTAAATATTTTCTGTAACTCTATTCTCCTTTTTTGAAGGTGATGAAGTGTCACAACAACAAAAGAGTCAACAAGGTTTGGAGTCACTGTTGCATCTTCTCATTGAATCTCATTTTCTCTGACTTTTATGTTTTAACATGTTGAAAGTACATTCTCATATTCTGAACCCACTGAGGAGATGCAAAGGTTTCCGTGCACTTATGTAAAACCCCTTTGATCCTAATAATCCTTTGACCATGTTATTATGATTGTTGGGTCCACTATCTGTGAGGTGACTCTTACATGGTGAAGTTGGAGACGTAGGCACCAGCGGGGATCTGGAACTGGAAGACGCCCTCTGCAGCGGCGGAGTGCCGGTTGAGCATGGCGCAGTGCACCGCGGTGAAGGCGTAGCGGGAGATGATGGTGGTCTTGATGGAGAGCTCCTGGATGTGAGGCTTGGTCTCCTGCAGAGGTAACGTTCAAACGCAATCACTGCAGAACCACCCACACCAAGATATCAGCTGAATTCTAGATCAGTTGTAAACGCTAATTTGGCACGATTTTACGCGGCACTGCTGCGCGTAACTACCCCCCCCCATTTTATTTTTGATTAGCAAAGCTATCTCCTCACAAGAAAGCCTGGATTTCCACATAGTTACAACAACCAAACGGAATTTGTTCCCGTGAGCTCAGATCCAGTGCATTACAGAGACTCTGGCACATCTGCGCGCTTAGCGGATCTCATGTGCGTCACGCCCAAACAAAGCGCACGAGTTTAGGGCGACAATAGACGATCCTGAAGAACAGAAACTAGGTCATGCCTTCTGGGTGACTTTTAAAAAGTATAAAGGTCTGTTTCATCAAATGTGTTCTTAATGCCAGGGAGGTCAGTTCACCATAAACTCCCGAAGTCTCAGAGTAGCGGCAGATTAAAATGCACCCAAATGTTGTTAATGTGCCAAAGTATCTAAGACGCCAGACGAAGATGGGACCTTCATTTTATCCTTCATTTTAAACAAATTTAATTTTAACACATATTTAAAAGTTTTACTTAAACCATACTTTCTCCTTTAGATTCAAAATATCGTCATATCTGTGAGTTAAATGTGACTTTACCTTGCTGAGTATAGTTTTCACCTGTCGTGGGACTCTGCGTGGTGCCTGTATGTGCAAAAGAAAAGGAGTCGGATATGGAAATCCAAACACCAGAATGTACAACACACTTCTAAACGTCTTACAATGTCTAATTCAAAGTCTACGAGCTCGGAATCAATGTCATCTCCAAGCTGGGATTCCTCCAGTTGTCCGAGTACACTCGGGCTGAAGCATAGCAGTAAAGTCAGCAGCAGCATCTTGCAGTCCTTCTCCGGTAGAACTTAAAAAGATGAATGGGACGTTATTCTCCAGCGCGCGGCGCGTCTCCGTGTGTCCGGATCAGAGTGACCGGATCAGAGAGGGGACGCGGGGTGGAGGAGAAAATACGCCCACCCATCTGGAGGAGAGAGACGCGGTGCTTTCAGTTCCTCTCCTAGATGAGGGGCAATTTGGGCTGCTGCCTTCAGGGGGTGTCGGAATCAAGTAGCCTACGAGTTAAACCCCGAAATAATTTAAATCTAGTTGTTTGAGGTGGAGCTCAATTTGAACCATTTTGGACTTTAAATTATTTGAAGGAAAATCTACAAATCTTCACATTTGTGAATCTGAAACCATGAAATGTTTTGACCTGATAAAATCACTTAAACGTTCATCAAAATAGCTTCCAATAAATATTCTAATCGACTAATCATTTCAGCTCTACTTATATATACTGTTTGGGTAGTTTAATTTATAGCAAAACATATTCAATAAACAAAAATAATTGGTAAAGTAACCAAAGCTGTTATAAATGTAGTTGAGTAGAAGTATAAAGTGAAGGCGTCTGATATTAGTGTATTTTCTATGTTCATCACTTGTATGTTATTCACACCATCATGGTCAAAGAGAGAAATCTATTTGGCGCTACTTGTAATCACCACTAGGGGGCTGACAGGAACCTTGTTAGTTCAAAATGACCCCAATGTTTGAAATGCTGTGTTTTAATAGGTGAGTTTGATGCATTCCATATCTTTAGCGTTGAGTGTTTTAATTCATTTTTATAGAGAATAGACATTAGATGGTTTCAGGAAAGGCAGAGATGAGGAGACAATTTCTTTATTTCACAATCACCACTCGAGGAGGAGCATGGACATGAGTATAAAGCCTGTTTAGAAGGACGTGCCTGTGCTGATTGAAGAAGTATTACAATGGAAAACCTCCATTTATGATTTTGTTAACGTTCTGCAGAAGAATGCTTCTTCTAAATGATGTAAGCGCAACTCAGAAGCTGGAGTTCGGAGACGTTCGTTGTCTCTTGTTATATTATATTTATTTATTCATTCACTATTTGCATTAGATTATTGTTTTTTTCAATAACGATGAAAACAAAAATTCCCCATAATTCCAAATCTATTATTTCCCCAGAAATCAAACATTTAATCAAAATCTAACCGACTGTAAAAACATCCACTATTATATAGAATTACAACGTGAACGAGGAGACAGAAATGCTTCTGCTGTTAGATCTACTCTGGTGCCATCTTGTGGGCACATTGCAACACAACATCTTTCTCTTGTAATCTATAGAAATGTGCTTTAAAAAGTTCATCTCTTTGGCTTTGTAATGTTTAAAAAAGCTGCCACCTTCATGTCAGAAACACACCGCAAAGATATTTGACCCAAAGTGCACCATACCGGTCAGTTTGTCACTTTTATATCAGTTTGACATGAAATCTCTGAGAATGAGTCAAATCTGTTTTATTTACACACTGCAGGTCAAGTTACAAAGTGTCCTTCTCGTCTCTGGTTTGACATTTAAACACAACAAATATTGACCGGGACTGGGAGTTGATCAGTTCAGTGGATTTTAACCTTCAGTTTCCAGCTCGGCTGTGTCTCCACGAGGCTCTCTGCAGAAGGACCGTCTGTCTCCCAACGCTGTTTATTCTTATTTATATGTGTGTGTGTGAGGGTGTTTGTGTTGGAGCCCACAGGCCTGGAAACATGAGACGTCTGCTGCTGCCTCTTCTGGGGCTCCTGCTCCTCCAGCAGGGCCGCGGCTTTGAGTTTGTGATAGACGGAGAATGGGAGGACGAGAGGGTGAGTCGGAGGGTGTTAGCAACCATTCTTTAGACTAATATCAATCTTAAAGTATTTGTTTTGATTTCTAAATTGAAAGAAAGCTAAAATATGCATTTATGAACAGATTTTGCATGTGTTGGTGGTTGTTTGTCCCTAATGACTGTCAAGAGGACATAAACTTCCTTTTTCATATCATTGGTTTTTATGTGATTTTAGGATTTTTACAAGTTAAATTGAGACTCGATTCAAAGAGAAAAAGTATATTTTTTCAGTGAATTCTCGTCATTTGAGATTTTTTTGTGTATATGTGAATTTTTTAAATGAAATCTAAATTCTTGCCCTGACCGTGGGCCGTTAAAACTCATCTTTGTACAGCAGAAGGTTCATTTATTTTGTCTACTCTCTGAATCGTGCAGAATAAATCTTATAAATCCTACTGCGCAAATTCTGCATGATGAATTTTCATCAATGTTACAACAAGCTTTCTTGTGTATGTTTTAGTTTTTAATTAAATCTTTTACAGTCAATTTAGAATTGAACAAAGAAAATGATATTGATTGTATTTTCTTGTTCTCTCTGCCTCTAGTCAGATCTACGGGATCATCGGGAGAGACACAAGGTGAGATCTCCTTCGGAACAAACTGACATTTCTTATTTACTTAACATTTTCTCGTTGGTGTTGCAATAACGGCGCCATCGATCCACGGAGGGCAGCATGTTACTGATTACACAGAAATGAACAAGGCATCATCAACTACGAACCAACGGATCCTGATTTGAATCCTGTCATCTGTTTCTTAATAACGGCGGCTTTTTAAATGTATAATCTTCTCTCAGAGAGCAGATTAAGACCGTATGAAGCTGACGTGTTCGTGTGTTTCAGAGAGCGATATTGACCAGCGAGGAGCAGGAAGACTTTGAGGTATGACTCCCTGTTTGTTGTCCACTGTGACAGAGTTTAAGCTTATCTAATAGTCAATATGCTGCTGTTTGAAGAGATTCTCATGACTGACGGGTTATTGACTTTGTTCTGCACCGATCCTGCTCTCATTCAGTCTTTCTCTTCCCAACAAATCAAATCAGTTGGTTTATTATTTTGTGGTTTTATCACATTTAGGGGAAGTGTCTAAGAAATGTTCCACAGGGCATCTATAACATTTATGTGTTCTTAGGGTCATAATGTCAATCAAGTCTTGATACAAGTAGATGCAGAATAAAATAGTTTGATATTGTCATAACATTTTCTAAATTTAAACAAACTTAAGAGAAGATATAAAGAGATCTTTAGTTGTTTGTGGTGCACAGTAGGAAATAAGTGAGACAAAGACATCTCTTAAATATTAAGATATGTGGGGAGAAAGTCTGGCAAAAATCACATTAAGTCTTATATCAGAAAAGATAACAAAGTCTAAAAGAAACGATCTTGATATGGGATCACAAAAGCTGCGACGCCAAATCAGGCCAGGGGCGTAAAGTGGTGTGGGAGGGGGGCAGTGGCCTCTTTGCCAGCTTCATTTTGATCTCAACACACCTGTAAAAAAACATCACGGCTGATAATTAAGAGACGTCCAGGTCAGAAACGGGAAAGAATTCTAAGAGAATCACTTCTTCTTCTTCTGTCTTTGCCCCCTCACAGGCCATCCGCGGAGATGACATCACCGTCAAGAGCTACAAGGTGGAGAGCCGCATCACGTCGCGCTTCGCCCACACCACCGTCAGGAGCTTGGTGGTCAACTCGGGCTCCAAGTCCCAGAGCATCGGCTTCAACGTCCAGATCCCCAAGCAAGCTTTCATCACTAACTTCACCATGTGAGTCCCGCTTTCACAGCGTCCCAAGCGGCCTCTTATAGAGAGAGCTTTGACTCGTCACTGTCTGTGTTGCAGGAACATGAACGGGATCATATTCGTGGGCTCGGTGAAGGAGAAGACGGTGGCCAGGAACCTGTACGCCCAGGCCAGAGCCAGAGGCAAGGCGGCGGGCATCGTCAGGTACCGGATCGGCCCTCTTGGAGCTCAATCCTCTATGGAGCTCACCAGCGTCACTGTAAGATGTTTTCTGCTTTACAGGGCCAACTCCCAGGACATGGAGACGTTTAAGACGGAAGTCCACGTGCCTCCAGGCAGCAACATCGAGTTCGAGCTCCACTACCAGGAGATGATGCAGAGGAAGCTGGGCTTCTACGAGCACTTGCTCTACCTGCAGCCCGGGAGGCTGGTGCCACAGTTCCAGGTTAGGATAACAGGATGAATCCATGTGTTTGCCTCTGTGTCAACCACCGATCGCTAAACCCAGAATCTCTCCAGGTGGACGTGTACATCTTTGAGCCGAAGGGAATCTCCACTGTGCAAGCGGTGAACTCCCTCGGACAGCAGTTTGAAGAGCTCATCAAAGTTACATTGTCCAAAGACAAGGTGAGACACATTCAATTGAAATCATACGCTTTCTTGGCAGAGACAATAATACAGAGTTTTTACTTTAATGTGTCAGAAGGTTTGACGGTTTGTTTCATGAACTGTGTCTTTGTCCCCAGGCTCATATCGTCTTCAAGCCAAACCTGCAGCAGCAGAGAAAGTGTGTCAACTGCACCGACAGCGCTATCGACGGCGCCTTAATGGTCAAATATGACGTGACGAGAGACAGCAATGCCGGGGAACTGCAGGTGTCAACATCTACTGTCTAAAGCCTCATTAATTAACTTTAACATCGCGTGAGGCTAGAAACTGTTTTCATTTTGCGTTGTCTTCCAGGTGTCAGACGGCCATTTTGTCCACTTCTTCGCTCCCTCCAACCTCTCTCCTCTTCCTAAAAACATCGTGTTTGTCATTGACGTCAGTGGATCCATGTGGGGAGTCAAGATGAAGCAAGTAGGTGGTTTGTTTACAAAGAGTTCTGTGCACTTTAGTCCATGAGGGTCCAGGGTTTAGGGCCCAAGGGGGGGACATTGGAATAATTCTTCACCACTCTCTTTGTGAAACGCTGCCCCCCTGTGGTCATTCTGCAGAGTGCATTTAATCGCTGACCTCTCTCACAGACGGTGGCGGCCATGCAGGCTATTTTGGACGACCTGACCATAGATGATCAGTTCAACATCATCGACTTCAACCACAACGTGCGCTGCTGGAGAGAGGATCTGGTCCCCGGCTCCTCCATTCAGGTCGCAGATGCCAAGAAATACATCGAGGACATCAAACCCAACGGAGGTGAGAGAGAATATTATTCTTTAATCGAGTATTTGATTGTTCTGATGAGGCTGCTCTGTGTGTTTATGACTCTACTTCACTGTCTCCAGGTACCAACATCAACGAGGCGCTGATGAGAGCGGTCCAGATGCTGGTGAAGGCGTCCAACCAGGGGCTCATCGACCCTCGCTCCGTCTCCATGATCATCCTGGTGTCTGATGGGGACCCCACTGTGGGTAAGACGGACTGATCCAGCTGCTTGGTTTCACACAGGGAGAAAGAATGCACTGACTTAAAAAAGTGAAAAAAACATGGAACTGTCTCAGTAAGATGCTGATTTCTTGCAGGTGAGATCAAGCTGAGTACCATCCAGAAGAATGTGAAGCGGGTGATGAGGGAGGAGTTCTCTCTCTTCTCGCTGGGCATGGGCTTCGACGTGGACTACGACTTCCTGGAGCGCATCGCCATGGAGAACAGGGGCATGGCTCAGAGGATCTACGCCAACCACGACGCTGCAGAACAGATACGGGTACGACGACCGGGGGGAGAACTTCACCTCCGGCAAAACACCTCTACGTCACTAAGATCATAAAACATCTTTGTTCTCTTCCTGAAAGAGGAACTAGCTTCATGCATCATTTGTTCTTTATTATATTTTGGAAAGATGGACTATGTTGTATTTTAAGTGCAGAACAGTAAAAACTAAGACAGAAGATTAAGATTAAGTCTTGGTCTACATGCAGCCATGATAAAACCGAGCTGACGTCATCTTATGATTTACAATATATCGTATGCATTACTTTCACATGTTTAATTGTTACATATGAAAAGGTAATTTTCCTGTGAAAATACCATGAAGACATGTTGATGTGCTTAGCGAGATCAGGGCTTAGTTCCTTTATGCCCCTTAAAGATCAACATCTTCTACATCCCCTCCTCTTCGCCCTGCAGGCCTTTTACAGCCAGGTCTCCTCTCCTCTGCTGAGGAGGATCACCATCCAGTTCCCAGACGACACGGTGTCGGACGTCACCCGGAGGAGCTTCGACAAATACTTCAGCGGCTCAGAGCTGGTGGTGGCCGGGAAGGTGCTGCCGTCCGAGAGCAACACCCTGACCAGCTTCACCACCGCGTTTTCTGTGAGTAAAAACAAAATGCAGGCTTTGAGGGGTTCAAGGGAAGGGAATGGTGCTACCAGTGTCCTCTGTCCCATCTCGTCCTGCAGGCCCGCCTGGACATCACCCTGGAGACGGAGGGGGACTTCGCGGAGCTGGACACGGAGCTGGCCAAGCAGCAGCACTCGTTCACGGGCTTCGCCAGACAAATGTGGGCCTACATCACCGTCAAACAGCTGCTCGCTGAAAGGTGAGAGGATCATGAGCACACCAAGGGATGGAGGACTGTTGAAACATGAAGACATGGCAGGGTGGTAGGAAGGTCCTGAATTCACCAACAGGATTTAGTAAAAAAAGAAATCAAGAAACAAGAAACATTAGGGTCAAAATCAGGCCTACAGATGACAATTCAATGATAAAAGTTCATAGGAAACATGGTTACCGGGTCAAAGAACCTTCCAGTAGACTAAAAGTGTGGAAGCATGATGGTAAACTGGTCAGTATTTGACAGCTGCAGTGTTTCTCTCCCGCAGGTCTCTGGCTCCCACGGCTGCCAAGAAGAGGAAGATCACCCAGAAGATCATGGCGCTGGCCGTGGAGCATCAGTTCGTCACTCCTCTCACCGCTCTGCTGGTGGAGAGCGAGGACGGCAGGGAGAGGCTGCTGGCCGACTCGCCGAGGGACCCCAAGCAAGGCTGCTGCTCAGGTGCCCGACAGAAGATGCACCGTTTTAATGTTGATCAGGCGGCAACCTGCATTCTCTCTAATGTCCACCAGGGGGCGACTCCTCTGGTTGTATAGAAGTCTATGAGAAAATGACTCTACTTCTCTCTTGATTTATTACCTCAGTAAACATTGTAAACATGAGTTTATGGTCTCAATCTCTAGTTTCAAGTCTTCTTCAATACAGCATGATGTTCATTTAGTACATTATGGTCCATTTAGAGTCAAACAGACCATAAAGCAGGGGATGCTTTAGGGCGGGGCTTACTGTAAATGACAGGTCTATAGCACAGTGTCCAAATATGGTCACTTCAGTTCACTGGTTGCAAAAAAAGCAAGATGGCGATGGCCAAAATGCCACACTCAAGGATTCAAGACTGCAGGTCACAAACCAATGGGTTTATATACGTTCTATGGTGTTGATTGATGTCTAAACCTTATTTTTAAAAGTGTAGAGACTGGAAATAGGTCAGAGATAGAGGGGTAGGACATGGACAGGACAGATTTGAGCAAGATTAGATTTTTGATTGGATCTTTATCTGGCCAGAAAGGTTAATAAAATATTCAACTTAATGTTCCTAATGGAGTCCGTAATGACGATGCTGATCAAAACAACTCCTGCGTTAACTTTAAATATGTCATGTGTATGTAGGCACAGGAGTGGGAGGAGGCGGCTCTGTGTCCAAGGGTCTGTCGCCATCGCTTTTGACCTACGATGCTCCACCCTGGGTCCAGATGACCACCATGGCCCCCCCGAAAGAGGTTGTGAAGGGCACCGTGGAGTTGAGCCTGCCTCAGCAAGTCAACTTAGGTAACACACGCACACACACACACACACACACACACACACACACACACACACACACATACTTACTTCTGATTTCTTCCTTAAAGTCACGAGTACTCTTCCAGCTGCAGTGTAAAATGTTAAAACGTTGCTCGATGTGTTTCTCCTTCAGTGGACAACGACCCTCACTTCATCGTCCACCTGCCCAGAGGAAACATGGACGTCTGCTTCAACATCGACTCCACACCTGGACACATTCTCAACCTGGTGTCTGACAGTGGAACAGGTACTAAACGTAGTACAATACATACAAACTTGGGTATCGGATGACAAAAGATGCTCAATAATGTTTCACTCGTCTATTTTGCTGCAACTTTCAACGAACCTGACTTTAACCTCGATGATAAATACCAACTTTTCATATTTTGAGCTTTGGTTTTGACGCATCTGTGACATTGGTACTCCCGTCCTAAAGGCTTGGTGGTGAATGGTCAGCTGGTCGGCTCCAAGCAGGCGATCAAAAGCAAACTGAGCACCTACTTCGGCGCCATCTCAGTCTACTACCAACCGGACGGAGTCAGCGTGACCGTCGACACCGACAGCATCGCCTTCACCGACGGCCAGAACAACCACTCCTTCACCTGGGGCGCCACGGCTGGGATCACGCAGGACGGGTAAACCGCCACACACTTTATTTACAGCGTCTGGCTCAACAACAGGCTCATTTTTTAAATATTCTCTCTTTGTTTCTGCGTTTCAGGGTGAGGATCTCTATTGTGAAGAACTCTCATGTTTCCATCTTCATAAATAATGACATCGAGGTGATGGTGCTACTTCACCGCGTGTGGAAGAAAAACCCCGTCAATGTGGACTTCCTCGGCGTCTACATCCCCAACGACAACCGGTACTCCCCTCTGGTCCACGGGCTCATAGGTACGAAACACTCACAGCTACAGACCTTTACTGTGAGTCAGACTTCAAGCCTCACGCTGTAGAAAAACATGGACGAAGTCACCCAGAGGCCCCCAAATGGGAGGACGTCTTCATCAGCTGCTGGACCGATTTAATCTAAATTTGGGAAAATATATATACTATAAAATTATACCGCACAAAAGCACCTCTTTAAATCTCGTGTTTACCAGAGATTTCTTGGAAATAAGTCATTCGGCATGAAAAAATGATGAACCAAGACCAGTGTAGTTGGATTTTTGGAGCCAGCATCAAGTGGCCACTAGTGTTACTGCACCTTAAGGCACATAGACTGGTGTTACTTTACAGCTGCTTCAGTAATATTCATCTGACAAACTAGTACAAGTATGAAAATATTATAAAAAGTAGAGACAATTTAAAGGGAGAACCAGCACGGGAGCAAAGCAATGTACTGCTGTGGACGTATTTTAGTCACCTAAAAATAATAAATATCAGTTTAAATGTACGCTATATTTAGAATATTTTCACTTCTTTACCTTTCTGTCAGAGAACTGAAGATGTTATCTCTCTTTAAAGCCACCAGACCAGCAACTCATGTGTTCTCCGAGGTAAAATTACTGTTTTTGTTAATATAATCTTGAGGCTTTGAAGAGAGGTAACTGCTTCAGTTCCCCGTCTGAAAGGGCTCTTTCAGGGCAAGCTAAAGCATTGAAAATAATCTTAATACGGGGTACACTTTTACTAGTATTGATTATTTTGTGTCTATAAAACAGGAGTTAGAAACAGTCTGTCTTGACTTTGTGAAACTGGCAAATCGTAGCCATTCACATCTGACACGCAGGTTCAAAATGTCCCTTTTAGCGGTTTTATTTAGAGCTGAACGATATGTGTGATCTCTTCTCTTCAGGGCAGTTCTCCAGAGAGCCTGAGGTGAGCGTGTACGATGTGCACGAGGGAGTCGACCCTCTGAAGAAGGAGGCCACCATGGAGGTGAAGGGCAACAAGCTGCTCGTCACCAGGTACGTTTAGACTCACATGAAAGATATCAAACATCCAAACATGTCTCTGATTTAAACCATGAACTCGTGTGTTTTAGGGGTTGGCAGAAGGACTACAGGAGCGATGAGAAACGCGGCTCCAGCGTCTACTGCTGGTTCATACACAACAGCGGAAAGGGCTTCATCGACGGCCACTACACCGACTACATCGTCCCAAATCTCAACAGCTCCCTGCAGACGCTCTGAGACTCGTTCACGTATCGCACGCATTTAAAAGAGCGGGAAACACAGGAGCCAGAAGAAAGATGGGAACACAACTCTCCCACTGGTGTTCATGTATCCATTTTATTTTTCAAGTTTCTCTTCTAATTGTTTTCCAAAAGAACACCAGAATCATTTTTTCACTGAGTTTATTTGGACAAAATGTACATCTGCAATGTGAAGATCAACTTGAATATTAATACAAAATAAAAAACAAATTGAACACGTTGCTCCTCTGTGATGACTGCCTGGGATGACGATGCGTTTATGTACAGGCGACAGCTCGGGGGGTAAAATGAACTCTGACACAGTAGAGTCCCTGAGGTTCGAACAGGAAGGTTGTCGGTTCAGGCCAGTTTTGAGAAATCCTCATAGGCGACGTCCACTCTCTTCCCCTTCTGTTGACCCTGAAGACGAGAGAAGGTGAGACTTTAATGACGAAAAATAACTCTAATGCAAGTTCTTACAAGTCAAGTCTCACATTGTATAGTTTCTTCACCATGAATGTAGTCAGAAGATGTTTAAACGATCTCCAGAACCGTCACTTCCGCCCGCTGTTAATCAGCATTTGTGTTATCAAATATTTTAGTCCAAGTTGTATTTTCGGGACTTTTTGAAGTTTATTCTCACGCGGGAGGAAAGCTGAACACTCTTCTGTCTAACGTGGTGTGAATACAGAGTAATAAGTTCACCACTAACTGACTAGTGATTAAAGGGTTGTTTGCTCATTTTATGTTCAGTAAAAGCTGATTTTCTACCTTACCAGTAGATGCATATGAATAAATCTGGCCAGGTTTTATTTATGGTGTTAATATTACACAAAGAAAGTTTCAGAGACTTTTATAGCAAAACCCAAACTATCTGCATGGTGAGATAACCCGAGTGGAAAATGAGAATATGCTTTTTTATAATTTGGGTGACGCCGTTTTGGCAGACGTCGGCAAAAGAAAAAGACGTACAGTAGATAATAAACCAAAGACTAACACGTGACAGGTACAGATGTGGGAGGAGCCTCTGGACACACTTACAGACTCGAGCGCGAGTGTTGCGCTGAAGTTCTTCTCGTCTATTCCCTCCAGCAGAGCCTCAGTGTCTCTGTGCGGACCGTTCAGGATCAAAACAAGTTTACCTGCAGGAAGTTTGACAACAAGAAGCTGAGGAGGATAGAAAGATGCAGCTGAGGTACAAGATGTTCCCACCGTCGATCAGCGCTACGTTCAGTAACAATCTGTAGAACGACTTTTAAAGCGTTCCGGTGGTTCACCTGGTGCAGGTATCACCGTCTCCACGTGATTCTGGTCCAGTTTCAGTTTGTCTCCAGAGTCGATCATCTTCACCACGGCTCCATATTTGTCTCGCACCTCCTACGAGAAAATAAAACACGGCTTTCAGCGACACACGTCTCCAACACAACACATAAACACGCCGTCAGCTGCACAGCGTCATTACCATGATGACGGCCTTCTTCTTGTGGTACTTCTCTCCCAGTCGCTTGGTGACGACTTTCACCACAATGTTGGGCTGCAGCCAGTAATCTGTTCTGACCGACTGCTTCTTCCTCTTCTTCTCCTCCATCTAAACGAGATGCATCGCAAACCGGGGTGAGTACAGACTGAATGCAGACACGCGTAAGAGGACAAAAACATCATCTTCTCTACCTCCATGATCTCCTCCAGAGCAGATTTCTTCTTCTTCTCGCTCCGGGTGTCTGAACTGGTGTCTTTCCTCTTGGTGGAGGACGCTGCTGCTTTGAGGGCACTAGCACCCAGAGCAGAGCTACAGGGAGACACGACACGATGAAATTATACTTGCTTGATAATTAGCCGGCACAATTAGCAACGTGCCAAGACGTCTGTACCTCGATTTGGAAGGCCCGGCGACAGATGAAGAGGCGCCCATGTTGAAAGCAACTGCAGGAAAACAGGCGAGGGTGAGTGGAAAGAAACAAGGGAAATGTGACGGATCACAAAACGAAGCAAAAAAAACAAACCTTTTTCTTCTTCACTCTCACGTTTCAGCTCTGTGAAAACTGGATTTTCCTACAAAATAAAATACAGGAACAACATATTTTGACTTTGAATCTATTGATCTACTGAGCACGTGCGAGGCTGAAGTCCGTGCTGCCAGCACTCACCTCTATCTCTTTGCCGTCGCGGCCTCTGCGGACCTGCTCCTCGATGAACTTGGCGCTCCTCTCCTCGTCGTCCAGGTCCTGCTTCTTCTTCCTCGCCTGCTCCTCTTGGCGGCGGATGGTCTCCGGGTCGCGGTCGATGTACTGGACGTACCAGCCTTTAGGGGTCTCGTCCACCTTGCAGAAACCTAGCAGCAACATTCAGCCGATTCTTACACACAATAAAATGATGTAGCAGTAACTGGTTTCTGAACATTGTGTCTGATGGTTAACTTTATATATTTACAAATAATAGAAATCCAAAAATGTAAATGTTGTGTCCTCCATTTTCAACCAATCACACGAGCGAGAATTTTTTAAAATATAAATCAAATGATGGTGATATCGAGACTGATCTCTGACCCCACGGTTAATATTTACCCATGTTATGTACTTTATTTACTTAATATTGTCATTCCAGTGCTCCCACATCTGTCTACTCTGCAAATACAGAAGCTGTTGCACATCTGTTTGAGGACAGAAGCTCCTCTCCTAAATGTTTCGTTGTGGGGTGTAGAACTAAAAGGTGTGCAGCTGTATTAAGACACTTTACCTTCTCTGCCCAGCCACTTGGTGAAGTCGGTGAGCGTCTCCCACTGTGTGGAGTTCATGTGCACGTGCTCTCTGTGGCTGATGTATTCATTGTAAATGATGTTGTTGTGCACTCGCTTGGTCCCTGCAGGTAGAGGAAGAAAAACAACTTCATGACACAGCTGCTGTAGAGCAAAACATCTGGATGTGTGTGTGTGTGGAATCAGGACTCACCGAAACGTCTGCTGAGCAGCTCAATGAAGTCGTTTTTGAACTCACTGGGAGGAAATTAAACATTAATGAACTCTTCCATCTGAAGAACTGCACTTTACGTGATTTATTTATTTATTTATGAGCCATAACGGAACTTACTCAGAGAAGTAGTCCATGAACTTGTTTGGGTCCTCTGAGGCCAGCAGCAGCTGCCTCTGGTGGGACTCGGCCATGCAGTGACATTTGAAGCCATTCTAGAAAAGACAAATAAGTTAAAAAAATAAAATGAAATACACTAAATCAGACAGATTTAATTAACCGACCATCTCACCTCATCTCGGCATTGTTTTTGACACATCTGACAATACCATCTCAGCTTCTGGAGCCCTTTTGATTTTATCCGGTTGGCTATCGCCTTCGGGGAGAGAAAATCAGCTTTCCCCATTCTGACGAGCAACAACAAACACAAAACACCCGCTACGTGTTTATTTATGACGCTTAAAGTGAGGGAAAAGTCTCCTCGAATCCCGGCTACACCATGAACAACCACTAGCTGCTAACGTTAACAGTTTCCGCATGTCGAACGACATAATCTCGCGCGAAAGGTTTAATCACGCGAGAGCTGTAGGTGCGTTCATGGACTTGTCTTAAGCTTCGGATTTAACACAATGTTCAGTAAAACAGCAAACAAATATACAATACTTAACAAATAAAGAGTAAAAAATAAAATACGTACCAGCAATATACAATCCATAAAACATTACTTTATTCAAAAATGGGAGAATGTTTACTGTACATATCCATGTGAGGTGGAGATAGTGCGAGTACTTTGATGCTAATACATTTGTACAAGAGTACAAATTTGAATACAGGACTTTTACTTGTAACATAGTATTTCTGCACTGGGAGTAAAGTCAAAATTAAAAATATCTGAATACTTCTTTCATTAAAAGGGTTAATTTAAGTGCGAGACATTGCGGCTTCGTTCATGCGTTGTGGATCTCACTCTTAACGATATATTTGGCAGCTCGAGAACGCATCATTCGTCCATTTTACCTTTAGTTTGCGCCTGCGCAGTCGTGAGTGTCTGACCTTCATAGCAGTAACCATGTTCGCCAGGACCAGCGCGTTGGTGTTCTCCCCACAATGGTAAAGTCAAACGCATTTAAATACTTCCACAGCAATATTTGCTTGTATGTTATATGTATGCACATCATGTGATATTTGATTAGAGTAAATGTGTAACTTGTAGTCTGTAAAACGTGCAGTTATTGAATGCAAGGACGTGCTAACGTGGAGGCCGCGGCTAATGAATGACAGCGGTGTGTCTGTGAGTTCAGAGAAGCTAATGCTAGCTTAGCTTACTAGCTTAAACACTCTGACATTGTGCGAGAAACCAGTGAAGAGAGTAAACATTTAACCAATGAATGATTTAAAATTATTTTAACTACATTGTCCAACACAGTCATAGAGATATAGCTTGCTAGGGCTAACTGTCAAAGCAGCTACTAAGCTAACTGATGCTAGCACACTTGCAGCGCTAGCTAGCAAACAAAGTGAATGTTTTAAGTTAAAATGAGTCAATGCTAACGTGACATTAGCTGCTGTTAATGTTAGGCTTTGTTATTAATGCTGTAACGTGTTGACAATGCTTGCAGCTGAAGCTTACATGCAGTATTTCTTTCCACAGTGGGCAGGTCAGGAACATGGCTACCTTGAAGGACAGTAAGTAATTTAGCATACTAGCCTCTTAATATGCAAAGACAACAGCATAACAACCTGTTGCAGACCATAAACTCACACTAATAACACACCAGATGGTCTCTGCTAAAATACATTCTGAGTATATTCAAATGTGTAAGTTTACAGGTTTTTAGAGTCTTCAAAACATGGTTTTAATATAATTTTATTAAACCGTTGCAATGTTTTACATGCAATATAATAGTTTACAGATAAAACTATCTTAACTAGGTCGCTCCCTCTGTGGTCTATTTTGGTTGAAGGTGATTATGCCGGCAACTGAAGAACAAACCATTTAAAACCCAACAACTTAATAACAGCCGATCTTAGTGATTCACAAAGGTCATCTCTCAGTAAAGTGACTGTTTGCCAGTAATAAAGCATCAAGTTGCCACACAGGTGAATGTAGTTTAATATGCCTTTAACCACATTTGTATCATCAGTTGTCAGACTTGGTAATGTCCTTTTCTTTTCTTTAGTCACCATCCGGTTGAAGTCCATCAAGAACATCCAGAAAATCACAAAGTCCATGAAAATGGTGGCCGCTGCCAAGTATGCTCGTGCTGAGAGGCAGCTGAAGCCAGCCAGAGTGTACGGTGCCGGTGCTCTGGGTATGTACACCTGTCTTGTTGTCTCTCCCTCTGTATTATTTTTACCCCTGATAGCGTGTTTTTTTTTAATGTTTTGACACGGGTCTAAGTTTCCACCGTTTCCTCTCTGCTCTCCAGCCCTCTACGAGAAGGCCGACATCCAAGTGCCGGAGGACAAGATCGCCAAGCACTTGATCATTGGCGTGTCTTCCGACCGTGGACTCTGTGGTGCCATCCACTCCAATGTGGCCAAGGCCATTAAGACCGAGGTCGCCGTCCTGACGGGCGCTGGCAAGGAGGTCATGGTGATCAATGTGGGAGACAAGCTGAGAGGCATCCTGCAAAGGTACGAATGGAAACATTAAATATTGATATAATTATAACATTTAATGAAAGACACAGGTTCACTGATGTTGCTGTTTATTTGCGGCAGAAATTTTGTGATATTTATAGTCTTGTGTTAGGTTTAGAATAACTAACTAAGTTGCTAATTAGATGACTTGTAGTTTAGAATAAGTGTTCAGGTGATGATTGAGTTACTGTACCAATAACACCCTCTGTTCCTGATCAGAACTCATAAACAACACATCATTCTGAACTGTAAGGAAATTGGCCGCAAGCCCCCAAGCTTCAGTGACGCTTCAATCGTCGCCGGCGAGCTGCTTGACTGTGGATATGAGTTTGACCAGGGCTCCATCATCTTCAACAGGTTCAAGTAAGCTGCTCGGTTTTTACTTTTTCCATGTGGTATGAGCAAAAAACACGACGTCGTCTCGATCATTAAAATTAATCTGTTTCTCTGATGCAGGTCTGTTATCTCATACAAGACGGAGAAGAAGCCGGTGTTTTCCTTAGAGACGATTGCTAACGCAGGTATAGTGTTGTTGTAAAGAACCAAAATGTTTGCACAGATCCTCGGGTGTCCCTTACAGAGAGATACTGAACATCTCGTGTTCCTCCCACGACAGAGAGCATGGGCGTCTATGATGACATTGATGCTGATGTGCTGAGGAACTACCAGGAGTTTGCTCTGGTCAACCTCCTCTACATGGCCATGAAGGAGTCCACCACCGCTGAGCAGAGTGCCAGGATGACCGCCATGGACAACGCCAGCAAGAACGCCTGTAAGAACACATTTTACATTCCCTTCTTTCAGGAGTGTGCTGTTGCTATACATCTGTAATGAGAAAGAATTGGATCTAAAATGAAGTTATCGACTGAAAGTAAATGCATTTATTTAGCGCCTTTCCAGTCTTCCGACCGCTCAAAGTGCTTTACACTAGATGTCAACGTTTAACACGTTCACACACACACTTTCATACGCTGATGGCCGAGGCTGCTGTACAAGGATCTGATCTAATGCTCATTCACACACCGATGGCTGTGGGGAGCTAATTTGGGCTTCAGAACCTGATTTATACCATCATGAGAGAATAGAGGTACCGATACTCACCTGCAGTATTTGCGAGCAGCCAAGTGCCAATTTATGTGACATGTTCTTGGTAATTGCCACAGTGCCGAGCTACCAGTTTAAACTGCAAACGTGTGACGAGGTTATGTATTTATAGGCTTGTTCGAGATGAGCCCGGCCTGCACAGAACCGATCACAGGCACGCCGGTTAGATTTGTGTCCAACTTGCTGTGACCAGTTTTCATGTTTCATTTTTATATTTTAAAACAAATGTGTATTCCTTTTTGTTTTTTTTGTAAACGTCCATTATTCAGGCGTAGTGTTTTGGTCCATTATTCAGTTTTAGTTTGATGTGTTCACTTGTCTTCTCGTGGATTATGTCATCACTTTTCACATGCGTTCAGGGCTGCATTCGATTTTCCTCTTCTGAAGTAAAGTTTAACATTTCGACATCGACTGACGTATTTGTCTCCCGTTCCTTCAGCTGAGATGATTGACAAGCTGACCCTCACCTTCAACCGTACCAGACAGGCCGTCATCACCAAGGAGCTCATTGAGATCATCTCTGGAGCTGCTGCTCTGTAAGTCTTTTCACTTTCACAGATTTTCCCCCAGCGACTTGCCCTCTTTCATTATATTCCTCCATCATTCACCTTTTGAGTTATTCTCTGTCCTGCAGAAGATGCTCTCACCTATGCATGTCTTTTTATAATGTCCAATATCCATCACCTTGTTGTGTGACTAATTCTCCTCCTCATTCTCTGCTGAACTCAGAACCTGAGGCTTGTTTTAACAGAGGTAACACTGTAGAGAAGACTGTAATGTTTTGTGTTTCATTCTTTGATAGAACAGTCTAGATGCCCTTTAGGTTTTAGAGTATCTCCAGACGTTCATCTTGTCCCCATCCAAGTTTAAAGAGCTGTGTTCACTTTCTTACCTTTCTTTTATTCTTCTTTCTTTGCAGATAAACGGACGAGATCTTCGTTTCCATTACCTATAGCTGTTCAAAGTACTTCAGACACTGTTGTGTCGTCGAGAGTCGATGAACGTTTGTGCTTCTATTTGTAAAATATATGGAGAAAATAAACCTCTTACAGAACCTTCATGCTTTTCAGCCCTGTATGTCTTTCCTCACAATAAATACTGATGACTGAGAAATACCAATATCGATGCTTCACGCTTGTGGAATTCTTCCTCCAAATTTTAAAGGCTCACCAATACAGTTTGATGTCTTGTCGCTGTAAAATCTGTACATAAGCATAAATACTGGTGATTGATTAATTTGTCAAAGCAGCTTGGTTGCTTTGGGGAGAGCACAGTGCTGTCTGACTGTAAGGTTAAAAAATACACTGACTCTGGAGAAGTACTTCATACAACTATCCCTTTAACTGGTAACCTTTAGAGCAGTTGAGTTATCTGCTGATGTGACAGATCCACATCAGTTTCTTTGTCGGTGTCATTAGCCGCTGACTTGGTGCCGTGCATCCCCGGCCTCATGTTGCCTTCCATAACAATTAGGTGTTCAAGACGGTGACGAATATAGGTTTGAAATTTGGGAAAACAGCCTTGGCATAGTTATCAGGAAAGACAAGTGTGTATATATAATATAATCAATTGCTATGCTTTAGGATTGGTGTTGTATGAGTTACCAGGAGAGAGTGAATCAGTGGTGGAAGAAGCACTTCGACTTGTTATGAAACTCAATTTAATCCTGATCCTCTATCAGACCATCGGACAGAAGATGGTCTATTTATAGGGTTATTCTTAATGTGCGTCATCGGCGCCACCGGATCGGATTCTGGTGAAATCAGATGAAGGTTCACCAGAAACTCCTTCAGCTCAGACCGGTCCACCGTGGACAACCAGAACCAGGAGGGAGGAGAAGAGCTCAGCTCCTGGCAGCATCTCCTTCTCTCTGGGAGTCGACACCGACACCATGCTGCTAGAGACCCAGAACGTATTGCTGGACCCGCTGGAGGGAAGACAGCCTCAGGAGAACCAGGGGCAGACTGTCAGACCCTGCTGCAGTAAAATGAAAGGGACTCTACCCCTTTTGTCTACAGGATCCGCCAAAATCGACACAAAATGAGTTTCTTGTAATACCACACGTAGAAATAAGTAGAAGTCATGCATTCAAAATTTTACTTTGAAAAAGTGTGAGCTTCAAAATATAGTAAGTACACAAAGTAAAAGAACTGATGATGCAGAAGTTCCCAATTCTATATATAGGCTTATAATTAATTAATTTGACTATATTGATCACAGAAGGGGAAATTTGTCTGCATTTGACACCAAAAAGCACATTACATCAGCACTGTGGAAGTATACTGGATATCTACTGTGGGGGCATAAAATGATTATCTCAAAGATGGTGGAACAGCTTTTAAGTGTTTTACCCCTTTTCAGTCATTTTTTGACAACAAGCTTTGCAATTTGGATTTACATCTTCTACTACAACTCCCTGGTTTTGTAGATATCCAAAATGCTCCCACACTACCGATTTAAGGCGCTGTTTTGGCGGACGTAAGGCCCAAATGTCCGTTCCCGCTGACATTTTCACAGCTCTTCTTCTCAACGCTTCAGGTAAATGGAACGACTCGCACACAAAACAAAGCGGTGCACGCGACACATCGTGTTACATGACGAGTGAGAGAAGAGATTTCACCGCACATACAAGCAAGGTCACACGCGAGATTTGATTTCACAGGTCAACAAAAGAAATATTTAGTTTCCTTATTATGATTTACTATATGCACAGTTCAGCTTGAGCCACAACACTATGAAAGTAATAAGCTAATGCAAACCAATCCCTCTGTGGCGACACCAGTCTTTTTGCGGATCCTGTAGACCTCGGTGTGCTGCTCCAGGACCTTGAGCCCTGAAAAAGGTTGTATCACACACGAAACAAAAAAGTATCACTGCCATTGAGATTACAAAACCGCTCAGATTGTATGGATGCAGCACAATGAACAGTTGAACAGCAAAGCTCATATTTGACTATATTTTGATATGACGCTGCAGAGAACTAATGTGAAATTAGAAAAGTTATGCAACATCTAAAAAAGATCAATAAAAAAATATAAGAATATTTGTTCAGGGCTTGTATTGTGATGTTGATGCTCAATGCTGTAAATGTATTTTCCCAATGTGAGTGTTGTCCATCTAGAACAAAGTGTTCTTGAGAAATTTGAATATTCCTAATTTCTTTGAACATTAATTATCTGTCGATTGACGATTCTAATTCTTTCAGCACTAATGTATAGTAACGCAGATAAACAGACAGATGTAGCTACCTGTTCCAAAGTTTGCATGATGGCAGCATCCTTTTAACACGTAGCTCTTCCTTTGTCATGGATCACTCCGATTGGCTCATTTGAGTGCAGGTCTAACCAAACTTCTCTTCAAGGGGAGCATCCATGAACCTCAGGAACTCTGATCTGAAATGGAAAAAAACAAACATATTATCCTGAGAAACAGGAAATGGGACTGATATCTAGGCTAGTGCACAAAGTTAACAAAAACATGCATTAACCTGTGAGTGCAACAAATATGAAATTCTGACAGTAGCAGAGTGCAATATTTATGACCAATGCATCCCTCACTGTAACTCAACCCAGACTGCATCCAGGGTGGCTTAGTCAAGGGTCAAGTATGCATACAACAATAAAGAAAAGATTATTTTCTGCAGATAGTTTAGAATTGTTAAAGGTTAGACGGCATTACTTGACTGACATGTGACTTTATTCTGTACTTGTGTTACAGCTGCAACAGTTCCCACAGCCTCACCCTCAGTAACGTCACCGTTACAGAGCACATCCGCTAAGTGACAGTGCTTTTATAAACTATAACTTTAGTATCTAGCTAAAGGCAAAACGGACACGTGCGCTGCAAATCATAGCAAACGAGGAAAGGCCATTCATTCACACGAAATGTTCCAAAACTAGCGAGCGGCCTGCTGACTGTCGCTCCCCTCCAAACACACGTGCGAGGCAAACATTTCGCGGACGTCATGACGTCAGACGCACGATAGGAGGGGGAAACTAGCGCATGCGCTAACACTTTTATTGCGGTCAGGTTGAGGCAACAAAGTGTTTTTTTTTCTTTAAATTGAGTGAATCTACAAAAATAGTCGCTAGGCACTAAAGCAGAGATCCAAATCAGATCATATATAACATATGATACATTTATTTCCAGTGCATAATCTGCTCTGTTGGCATTTATTTTGCAAATTTCGTGAGCAACTGTTCTTGAAAAGAAATGACAAGACATTTGAGCATGTCCTCTGACCCTTTTGTTCAGATGTAGTCATTGCATATAAATGCAATGACTCAGGGATCAATCAATCATCTCCTCATCATTTGTAGCTTCATCTAACAAGAGGCCCATCGTTTGCAGTTCATTAAGAGTCCACCGGGCGGCGCTGTCTGATAAGAAATGCGAGGTCCGCCGGTCTTCAGCAGCCACCTGCCTTTAAGAGAAACTCGAAGGGACCAGCAGTGTGAACCGGCAACACAACACATTCTTCTATATGACAGAAGGGTTTAGTTCTGGTCAATTGAGCCACTGCATTCAGATTCAGCATCTGATCCGAGTGCAGTCTTTTTGCACAGATCTTGTGGTTTCTCATGTTAATGCTGTTTAGGTTTCTGTCGACAGTTACTGTCAAATAAAGACAGAAAAACAAGACAGAAGGTGGTTGTGGTTTGCATTTATTATTGTTTGTGTGTCCAGATGCTTTTGTGCATCTGTGTGTGCATATAGACGTGCGCGCGTGTGTGTGCATACATGTCCTGCAGGCCTTGTTTGTCTATTGTATTTGTGCTTGTTATTGTTTACTCCTGAGGGGAGTGGGGAGCGATTGCATCTGAACACTGAAATTACAGCGATGCCAGACTCCGATAAACACAGTCGGGGAGCAGCAGCCTTCCCATCTCCCCCTCGCTGGCGAGGCCCAGCAATCCAACTTCACATGGATGTGGGTGAGGGGAAAAGGGGGGGGAGGGGGGCTTTTTTCATTTTGGAAATTCTGCAGAGCCTATGTCACAATTGTGAAAGCTGAAGCAGATTGTCTGTTTATTTTTGGCTGTTTTTAATATGTATTCTGTGGAAATGTCAGTGGGTCCAGGTGAAAAGAATAACCAGGAAGTCCATTTAAAAAGCTTGTGCCAGACAGAAACATCATCGTGGTTTATTGTCAGGACAGTACGAAGTCTGGAGAACAGCAGGTCTCCGCAGTAATAATTGTCTTCTCTGTCTCGATGCTTGGAAGGCAAACAGTAAGTGACGGAATCAGATACTCCACCTGGTATCAGAGCTGTTTTTAAGGCGTGATGATATGAAATAATATTGTCTTCGTGGATCCCAACCCCTGTGCTATCGGCCTTGGGTCATTTTCCACCAGGCCTGCAAGGAAACAATATAATTTGGCCAAAAAACAACATTAATTATGTAACTTTATACATCATTTGTGTGGTAATTACCTTAAATTATCATTATCTCCATGCTGCATCTTTCCTTATCACTTCATACTGATTTTGAACAAGAACATTAATATCCAAAGTAATCAGTCCGTCATCACCTACGTAGCTACTCAATCTGTGTGTGCTGTTCTCCTCTGCAGTGCTGCAGGAGCGAGTCCTAAAACTCAAAAACGAGTCAGCATTTTTGCACTTTCGGTTTCTTACTCTCGAAGTCGATGGGTTTTTGGCTAGATGCCTGAAATAAGGTGTGTGGTAAACACAAGCTTATGAGATTTTAACGTTTTGTTCTATGACATAAAATACTTCTCTGGTGAAATTTGAAGCTTTTTTTTTTACATTACTTAAAAAAAGGAGTTGCTAACAAATGGTTAAATGAAACACCAGTCGGCTCTTTAGCTTAATGGTGGTTAAGTTCTGCTGATCTTCCCGCTTCAAAAATCATAAAAGTGTCGAAAAAAACCATGTAAGTATCATAAACGTTGTTTGACACGGAGCTTATTTTCTGCAGAAATACGAATGCAAAAAAAATTCTCTTTTTGGTGAGGGAACCATGTGTGATGCTAACTTCCTGCTTTGGTTAAAACATACATCATCTCTGCAGGTCTCTATTAATATCATTAATGCTGCAAAACTCTGTGCACACAACTATGGCAAGCACAGTGGGTCAATGTCGCACCAGAAGTTCTGTGATGGATGTTTACGACGGGCAGGTTACCATTTTCCTGTATTTTCTCTTCCAAGTAAATTAGAAGAAGAAGTAAATTTCTTTTAACTGACCATCTCACTGCTTAGGTTATTTGTTTGTTTTTTACCCGTGGCACCGGCAATGTTTCTGTGCGCTTACATCTCAGCAATGTTTTCATAACCCAAAACATGGAAAATAAGACCCAAGTTATGTCAAATGTTGAGTGCAGAGAGGAGAAACTGGCTCTCGGGTATTTTGCGATAGCAGGATTCAAACCAGCAGTCAGTTATAAACCACCAGCTAGACTACTTCCAACAAAGCAGAGACAAAAAAAACACAACACACTGTTATTCTTCTTTCATTATGTGTTACGATGAAACTGTGTGTAAAGTGTGTAACTGTAATGTGAGGGTTTGACAGTTGGCGCCCTAATATAATGGCTCCAACAGTGAGTGACTGAAGAAAAAAAAAGACAAAATGTGTGTGTGTCTGCATTAAAGGTGTGTGTAAAGGTATAAAGGTGTGTGAGTGTGCAGAACGAGTGAAGACATCTGAACATTGTGTTCGGTGGGGGGGGGGGGGGGGCGCCGCTGTCGCCGGCGCCACCGCTCTGTATTAGCTTCACCTCGTTATCGTTATCGCCCTCCTCCATTGTGGCATGAAGGGCGGAAAATGATTAGAGGAACAGGTGACAATGGAGGCAGAGATTTCTGCCTTTACACGGGGCAGCGCCTCTGTCAGGTACAGCGGCGTTACGCTCAAAAGAAAAGAAGAGGGGGCGCCGCACAAAAGAGCTCCTTTCTTGCTTTAAAACACTCACGTCTTCTTCGGGAGCGCAGAATGGGTGTTCGTTGGGGGCCAATTGACTTCCTCCATCCTTCTCTCAGGTTATCACAGAGAGGAAGATGAGAGCTCTGAGAGGGGAAGAAAGACTTTTCTACTCCTCCTCTTCGCTCTTAACTCCCTTCTTTTTTTTTTTCCTGATCCGGGAGGGTAGGGAAAAAAAAAAGAAGGTAAAGATAGCGACGAAGGAGAGGAAGACAGGAAGCGAGGCCGAGGCTCTTTCCCACGGCGACGTCTGCTTCGCGACATGGACTCTGATGTAGTAACGCCAGGGCATTATCTCATTCAACCCCCCTCTTCCTTCTTATCTCAAT